GTGCCAAACCTCACCATGGTTACAGGCACATGGCACGCCTAAGGGGTTACTACTATTTGACTGTCCATAGTCAGTCCCACGTTCTACCGTGGACGTCACAGCCAAGACTATCAGGAGCCTCCCTCCCCTCCTTCAAGTGGCCGCGAGCTGTATTAGCCCCAAAACAGAGTCCCTCATCCAGTCGTTTTAGTGCCTTGCCAACGTGTGTCTCTCACTGCTCTCTCAGATTTCCCCCGGGGGGTCCCTCGTTTCTGGCTTGGTTGGGAAGTTCGTAAGCCACTTGACCACTGTGGAGAGGCATGAACTCGCTGGCACACTAAATGAGGCGGCTCCGCGCTCACTTGAGCCGGAGCTAGTGACACAGAGACACAAGGGACCGTCGCGTGGCATTCGAAAGCTAGGCGCCAATAGCGGCGGCACTGTGTAAACGTGGCGCTGAGCGTTTGAGAGACTCAAGACGAAGAAAAGCCGTAATAGACGCACGCAGGCAGAGTGTTAGAGGCGGCCCGTATGGACCGCCAACAAAACATACTGGATTCGGGTTATCGTGTGAAGGTGAAGCCTCGTGTTACTTTTGGTCGCTATGGCACCAGAGAATGCTTGACCACATCCTGTTCCAGTCAACAAATCATTCAGACCTTTCCCAAAACACTCGACGCCTGTAATATCAAGGACGGGGGGACCGCAACCCGCCCTCATGAAGCGGGCTCTGAGGGCCCCTGTTTCCAGAATAATGGGTTCTGCAAGAAGAAGAGGGCCACGGAGGGGAGGAACCAGTTTCGCATGGGGTCATACTACTTCCTTGTCAAACGCGCGCGCGCGCCAGTCGCACCCAGTCCGAGCGGCAATGCTGGTTTGTGGGACGCATTCTAGAAGTTCTAGATGATCAGTCGGTTAGATGGCATTATGGGTCCGTTGCCCCTGGCTCGTCATCTACGAGACTACGAGTTCATGCCTGTAAAGATCAGTCAACAGGTATGGATGGGGCACCTACAATATTGTACAACATTGTGCTCCGTAATGCCAATTCCGTCCCAGTGTCGCATCCCACCGCTAACCCTCCATGTGCTCCGTAAGCAACGAGCGTTTGTGAACCATGCGGTACCGTTTGCAGTACGGACCACAGAGTGCCGCACCAGCTACCTGGTCCGAGTGGTTGGCCGACCGAGCGGGTTGTTTACTAAGTTATTGGCCAGGGTTGTGAAGCTATGGACACGGACAAGCCCTGCCTGTGCTTCGGCAATCGCCGTTTGATACCGTTTTGGGCAGCTGTGGCAGAATACACATCCACCTTCTGCGGCTACAAGGTTGTCGCCATTCATTTGATAGTGCCGACTTGATTGTAAGTTTGAGGGTTTGTACATGGCTTGTTTGCAAATGTGAGAAACCGCAGCATCAGTAACGTCCCAGTACGACCTGTATCAAGTTTGTCAGTGCAAACAGCTCCGTACAAACGCGCCCCAATTCTTGTCATGATAAATACCTACACTACATCATTTGGAACGGTTCGACAGATTGATTGGATGCGCCGTCGTGAAAACAGTGTCTCAACGTAGCTTTGGTCGCCCTCGAGAGGTGTAGAGTTCGCCGGGCAGCGTCTGGCGCCGCTGATGAAGGGAGAGCAGCAAGATGCTCACCGACAGGGCCCCTCTTGTCCCGGTAGACCCAAGGCGATGGTAAGGAGCCTGATTGACCGAAAGCGTCTGGTTGACAATGGACGGGCATCTTCCGTTAGTTGTGGCGGGATAGAAAATACAAATGGGCCGAATGAGATGCCAGCTTGAGGCCGCCCCGCCGGGTGGAGATTTCCGGATCGTGGACGTGAAGAACATCATTTGTCTGCTGGTTGGCCCAACATAGGCGCTATAGACGCAGTATTTAATTAGTAAACCCGTTCAAAAGGTTTACTCCATGGCGACCGGAAGGCAAAGGCTCCAGTCGTCCAGGCTCCTCCCAAGCAACAGCTCGTCCGGGGTGCGGCGAGGCATGGGGTGGATGAGAGCCATTGGAGCCGGAATAGACTGATGTACATATGCAATGGAGGTGCCCGGCTGGCTGACGGCACAGATTCCGCCAAGAACACACAAATAACTTGACTGCTTCGTACTCCCTCCCACACAGCTCAACAAGTGGTGGTTCTGATAACAGTTAACTGGAGAAGCATGGCTGCCATGTGGTCCCCCACAATCCTTCCCAAACCACCGCCACAGCTGGCTGGGCGGCTTGTGGTGGCTCAAGTACTTGTTCTGATTCGAAATGGAAGACAACGCGGATTGGCGGTACGCCAGCGCCGAGACGGGAACGAGACGAGAATGCGCGTCGTACCATGGTCTCACCTCGCGGTTCTCTCTTCTCTGATACGAAACCCTGAGCCAAGTTAGCGGTTTGTCTCGTGGCACATTGTCTGGAATCGAGTAGTAATTGGTTACACCTTACAGTTACCCTCAGAGTCCAGTTGGTGGTCCTGCGAAACACCGGAGATGCCGACCCAAACTTAACCCCGGTGTTCGTCCACTCTGGTACAAAAGCAGCACAGCCATCATCAGGCCGGCTCTCAATCATCACGCGATGCCAAGACGACTTGCGCAATCTATTCGTACATCAAGAAGCTGCTTACCAAATTTGATGGGTGGTATGTGCATCCAGCGATGGTCCCTCGTCATTCAGCGCAGCCGCCCCTGGCCTTGCGCCCCCCTTTGATTGATTGTGTATGGTGTATTCGCATTGATGTGCCAAGGGCTGTAAACTTCAACTAACAGCTGCTGAAGAGAAAGCTTCTGCCCTGGGGAGCAACTGTAAGTCGTTCTTGAAACGTCGTCTTGGACCGAGCGACACCGTTTCCACCCACTCGGGACGGTTTTGTCGGTCTCATGAAACTGACTAAGTATGCCTCAACTCTAGCTCATTGATACTGTATAATCTTAATCGTTGGTGGCGCACAAGGCTCACCAATCGCTTCTAAACCTGGAACCCTGTCGGTCAGGTCATGCCGCCTTCGTAATCTTCAGACAAATCTTGGTTAGTATGATGAGAAGAAACGACGCAAATAGAAGTCCCTTGCATCCGGCCCGGTATTGTAACAGTGACGCTGGATCTCCCATGCAGCGATCGGTGGATGCGGACATGCTGGCTTGTATTGTTACAGCAGGTATTGTTCATGCGGGCATCACGAAAGGCGTGATGCAACTGGTACATGTTGGCCGAAGCATCCATCTAGACCCTTGCCAAGACAACAAGGAGAATTAAAGAACATGGAGTTCCACTGTTTGTCGGCGAAGGCGATGTGAGATTTAGTTTGAGCTCGAGCTCGAGGGGTATCATCTGCCGTCTTGCCTCCCTGCGGTGTTGGATGCGTCCGATGAAATTCGCAAAGCTTGTAACGGCGATTGCCTCGCCCTGCCGGACCAAAAGATGGCTGTCGCATGCCTGGCCGCATCTTCAAGTTCAACTCGGAAAGGCAGAAAATTTCCGGCGGAAACGTGGGCACGGATGTCTGACGTTGAGGGCTGAAGAGCTGCGAGGCCAGTCAAGTGGTGGCTGACAGTTGACATGTGCAGGGCAGGCCGCCTTTGCCACCCGCTAGTAGCGCCGGGGCGAACTTTAGGAAGGAGCGGCCAGCCTTGTGGTGCTGCCAAACTACTTGGTCGCCAGCTGCCACAGCTGCTAGCCGCATTTTAGGCTTTTAGGGTACTCCGTATAGAGTCTGGTACTCAATTGATAGATTGTAGACTGCGCCAGACGCTGCACCCGCGACTTGGCGGCACCAACCACTCACATGCGCACCCACTGCACCAGCCGTCATAGCCGGCTAAGTAGTAGGAAGACACAGATAAACAGGCAGCTACATTAAATATCTTCAATGTATGTAGTTTAGCAGCCGGCCACTAGCTAGTGGCAGCCGATAGTGCCTCCTCAGCGGCGCCTGCTCCGGCTGGCTGTCAGCCGACATGTAGATGCATGCGCCGCACTCGTATTCCCCCCCTATTCCCATGGTCAGCACCTCCAACCTTCCGCCGGCGGTACCACCTCGCTCGTTCAAGTGTCAACTACCTACGTACTACAGTTGCACCACTTGCGCTCCGGGCAGCGCCTCCACGGCCGTCCTCGCAGGGCCCGATGATACAGAATCTTCACCTTCATCATCATTGCGTATTCGGATTCCTCGGCCGCCTCCCACCGACCACCCCCCCGATCTATCCAGCAAATTCCGCCGTCTGGATGCCTTGGGATGCAGAGCGGCTTTTCAGGCCCCGGGATTTGCGATTCGTCACATTGCGCAGAGTACGTCAACAAACGATTGCCTCGTTCTCAACGTCGAGTATGCTTTAGCAAGCCGTCTTGCCTCTTGCCTCTTGCCTCTTGCCTCTCGCCTCGCCAAGGCCATGCCGACGCACCGCATCACAACTCTCGTCCCAGCTAGCGAATTCTGATCGCCGTATGGCCCAAGGCTGCCTGAGTTGGCCCCAGAAAGTACCGTTCAAATGTGCCCTCTGCTCCTTGGCACGGGTTCCCAAGCGTGCCACCTGATGGGGATGGGCTGCATTAGTCCGTCGGTGAATTCTTTAGACTTTCAAGATGCAAGATGTCAGATGCACGATCAGCTGAAAGCGATTCCCACTATCGACGGAGTGTGCAATGTATTCCATGATAATTTGCCCATTAATTGTCTTCAGTTCTAATTTTTCCCTTCGTCAGATGCAGACTAGATTCCTCACGGGGCTTTTTTAAGTTGCCTCGGTCTCTTCTTGTTTTTGCGCCACAAATGCTTTGCCGTTGTTTAACCGTCTAGTGAAAAATTATCTGTGTATGGCTGGATGAGACTACTAGGTATCTGTCCGTTGAGCTCACTTGCTTATTGTTTCTTAGTCTATCACTATCAGGCCATTCATGACAAATAAGGACGGAAATGCTACGTCATCTGGTGAGATTGGCGGCATCGAGGTGGTTTGACATCCTTTCCAAAAAAAAATTATATGTTTTTTTTTTTTTTCGTTCTTCTGCTATTTCCTTTCCATTTCCGTGCCAGTCATCCCCTGAAGTTCCGGATTATCATTCTTCACGGCTTCTACCAATTCATCCAGGCCGCCGACAGTTGTAGGTCCGGCCATGCCTTCTGGAGGAAGAGCCCATTTTGGTAGAGGGCTCTTGTATGACCAGGCTCCACCAGCATCTTCGTACCGCAAGCTGTGAAGCCACAGTGACAGTTCGTGCATTCCTGGATCAGAGTATAACGGCGTGGCACATATGTCACATACTTCGCCAGTCATCTTTTCCGCCCGCTTCTTCTCATACTTGTCCAGCATTTCGTCGTGGTAAACCACCGCTTGTGCCACTTCCTCCTTGCCCATACGCGACAATCTGCTGATGACGTCCTCGTCCGTGCTGACAGTGCCATCGGCATCGTTCCGGCCTAGGTTGAAGCCCCATACTCTTTGGTTTGCGTATATCGGGTCGTTTTGGATGGGGTGTCCCAGGTACTGTAGGTGCACTCGAATCTGATGCGTCCTCCCCGTCACCGGAAGGCATCGGACAATAGAGTATCCTCGCTTGTTTATCCAAGGCTTGCCGTTGGACTCGTCGCCTTCCTCCGCGGGCAGCCTGCTGAGTTCTTTGTCTGTAGGCTCTGGGACTCCTCCCTGTTGGCCGTTTGCCTCTGCATGGGCTCTTGGGGGGTAGTATGCCAAACGCTTGAATACCGTCCGTGCCGCTTTGCCTTCAGCCCGAACACGGTTGAGGCCGAGTTTAGGTGATATTGATAGGATGGGCTGGTCACAAACAATCTCTCCCTCTGGAAACTCCCCCACGACGCGGGCCATGTATTCCTTCCTCACTGTCCGTGACTTGATCTGATTGCCCAATGCCTCCGCAGCCTTGACGCTCTTTGCGACAAACATGATGCCGCTGGTCAGCCGATCCAGCCTGTTGCACGGATATGGCATGAACTCTGGCCCTCGCTCAGCCTTCATAATTTCCAATACTGAATTGAACTTGTATCGGCCCGCGGGGTGTACGGGTACTCCGGAGGGCTTATTGATGACAATCATGTCTTCGTCCTCGTGGATGATGCCAACAGGATCCGACGTGACTGGGGGTTCGTGTCGGTGCAAGGTGTGTGAGATCAAGTCACCATTTCGAAGAATGTAGTCAGGTCCGACCCTGGTCCCATTCACAAAGATGTCTCCTGTCTCCATGGAGGTCCTGTAATACTCGGCGGGTCGGTCGCGAAACTCGGATTCGAATATCTCGATCAAGGATCTTCCACGCCATCTCTCCTTGCAGTATGTATTATATGTCCAGTGATATGGCCGTACTCGTCGTAGGTCGTCTTCAAAATAGTATGGAGGCGGCCAAATTTTTTTGACTGGGGTTATTATCGGGCCGTCAGAATGCCTCGCGACCTTTGACGCAATGCCTCTGGCTTGGGCAGCGGCTCTCCGCGACTCTTCCTTCTCTTGGGCAATCTGTGCAGTCGCAAGAGACTTTGGTCTCTCGGGTTCCGCGATTGGCGCAACCGAAGGGTCGGTTGCCGTCGCAGACATGGCGGCGAATGTCCTTAGCAAAGCCCCAAAAGGTCTAGAGCCTGCTCCTCTTACAAGCATCGGCGGGTCAGGGTTTTAAAAGCCTGCGCCAAGGACCGCTCGAAGCATCGCAGGGGAAAGATGTGCCCTTCGCCATCTGTGTGGTCTGGGTGAAGAGCCCAGCTTTTCTCTGGCGTCCCGCTGAAATGCAAGACCCTTTCTTGCCAGCCAAGCCCGTTCAGGCACAGAGAGGGGAGCACCACACAAAAAAATGCGGTCAGAAGCGGCAGAATTGCCTGAGCCGGTTTAGTTTGGTTGCCGCCCGCCCTGAGCTTGTTCAATCTGGGTACGGCATATCGTTAATCATTCAATGTTGCCTTCGTATCAGTATTTGAGCGTAAAGGCTATGTTTTGCTTGGTTATATGATGTTCTGGTTCACGACTACTCATGTCTCACATAATCTGCTGAATATGGTCGTCTTCGGGTCAAAGAAATGCCACTGGATACGCCGCGTGGCTAGGCAGCCCAGCTAGTCCAGGCAGCTGAATATTGCATTCTTGGTGTGACTTCTCCGCGCGGCCTCCGATCTCACATGGTCTGCCCATCTAGACTATTCCATGACAAAAATCTTGGAGATACTGTTTCGTGCGCACAGGACTTGCACTCGCGATATATCATCCTCGCCATGACTACCAATTCCGCCGACGAGGGCATTCCACTCGCGAACATGGCAAGCCCGGCGTACAGCAAGAGCAAGGGCTCTGAAGAGCACATCCTCCAACTTTCGGGAGGCCGTCAACTTGCTTACGCCCACAACGGCCCATCTGACTCACGGACGATTGTCATCTTTTTCAGTGGCGTGATGAGCGTTGGAACAGCCCACGACGTCCCAGAGCCCTGCCGCAAACTCGGAGTACATTGGATTGCTCCAACCCTTGCCGGCAACGGCAACACGAGCACTCGGGACAGCGGGATACCTTACCATGTAACTCTTGCAAGCGACATGACGGCATTACTGTCGTATTTCTATCCTACGGGTGCGTACGATCGGATCTATGTGGCCGGCGGATCCTACGGCACCGTCCCGGCCCAGATGCTTTACGGCGCATCATATGACCTATTCCCACCAGGTCGCAAGATGGTCGGCTGCGTCTTGCTCGCCGGCTTCTCCCCATTCAAGTACCACAAGGATCATGCCAAATATTTGAGCTGGGCCAATTGGTTCTCCGTGGGACCACCGACGCAGCTGGTTCCGTTCCGCATGTTGCAAAGGGCCTTCCGCTCAGCCATAGCCTCCAAGATGAAGACGGAGGACGGCGCCAGGGAGTTTCTCCGGCAGACGCTGTTTGACATGATGGACGACGAAGAGAGAAAGGTCTACGCCGAGTGGCTGAGGCGCAAAGAGACGACTGAAGACGAGTTCATTCGTCGGATGGCGCGCGGAGCAGTGACGTGTTGCCAAAATTGGGATGGCTTCATGGAGATTTCGGATGTGATTCATTCGGATTGGGGATTCGAACCTGCTCGGCTGGATGACGAGCATGCATTGAAGCCCATGCTTGTCGTTGGTTCGGATAAAGACCATATTGGGGGCGCTACGAACAAGTGGCTGGTGGCTAATTACAAGAAGGCCAGGGCAAAGAGTATTCCTGGAGGCCACATTTCGTCCCTATACTACATGGATGAAATATTCCAGGATATAATAACACGTGAGTTCTCTGTGCCTCTTGCATTCCTTGATGGAAGACCAGTAGCTGATGGTGGATGAAGTTATCGATAGAGGGTGAAGTATGTAGTTGGTCAGCTTAGGTTGAGGTAGCGTCTCGGTTCCGTCTTTCAACTTGAAATATGTTTGCAATGTAGAGTACATGTCGGCAACTTGCCTGCCGAGGTGCCAAGGTAGTGAATTAATGTGAAAGGATTAACGATTGAACTCTACTGTTCATTTCCACTTCAGGCACGTACACAGCAATTGATTAACTTGTAGTTATTCACTAGGTCCAATGCTCGGTTCTTAACCATCATTGATACCCTATAGCCGTTGTTATTTGAGGGTGGGGACTCTATCTAGGTCGGCAAGCACTCACATCCCTCCTTCCCCAGTCAGTGCACACGGCACAGCGTGCCGTCGAGGCCCTGGACCTCGGCTCGTAACCATGCACAATCCGTGAGCCTTCACTCAATTTGAATCCTCTCCTACAATTGCATGCTCGCTTCAAAGTGGCTTTCATGCCGAACAATTCGACCACACATCCCCCCCCCCTCCCGCCTACCCCCTCGCCCAACTCGGGGGC